ACTAAAAATACAAAAATTAGCCAGGCGTGGTGGCAGGCACCAGTAATCCCAGCTACTTGGGATCTACTCAAGAAGAATCTCTTGAGCCTGGGAGGAGGAAGTTGCAGGGAGCCAAGATCATGCCACTGCACTCCAGCCTGGGCAACAGAGCAAAACTCTGTCTCAAAAAAAAAAAATTCCTTGTTAGCTTTCTCCTTGACTAAGTTTTTTGCCCACTATGGGCAAGGACAGTGGCAGGGGCCCAGGGAGAACTCAGGGGGTATTCTGAGGGTCTGCCCAACATCCCATGTAACAGGAAACACAGTGCTGTGCAGACGCAGGTTCAAGACCAGCTTCCTGACCCCCCTCCTCAACTAAACATAGCCCCTGAGCCTTGATTTTGTAGAAACTCCAGACCTCCAAGAAGGGACTTTGTCTGTGTTATTGTGTGCTGCAGCCTCAACCACCTGTATGCAGTAGGTGCTCAGTAAGTGTTTCCTGGGCCTGGCACACAGCAGGTGCTCGATAGATGCTTTTGCTGTCTGGTATACAGTAGGTGCTCAATAAATGTTGGGTGGCTGCATGAACTGAAGCAGTGAGTGCCCCTGCCCCCATGTCTGAGGGCCAATGCTCTGACGATAGGTGATGTACCTCCGGCTGCCCCCACCAACGCTGTCCATGCCTGAGAGAGGACAGGCATCCCGGGGAGAAATTGGGGCCCACTCACCAATGTACTCCTCCACCTGGACATAGCCATCTTTGTTTCTGTCCAGGTCCTCCAGGGTTTCCTGGGGAGAGAGAGGCATTGAGGCTGGGGGCCAATGCCCCTGGCTCCTGGGGGAGGCTGGACCCCTGGGGCAAGAGTGAGAGGTTCTCTTGGAAATTTAGCTCTGGGCAGCTGTGGGGGGCAGGCAGTAGAGCAGTCTCAACAGGCGGCATGGGGGAAATGTGCGGGCTTTCTGGGATGTTATGATACAGGCACTACCTGCATTTATGGGGCGAGAGCTCGGAGGCCCCAGTGTCCAGCAATGCACAGGTTTGTTGCACACAAGGAGAGCTGTCCTGGGTCCCTAATAACTTGCTCAAGCCCCAGCAAACACCCTTGAAGGGGAGAAGCTCCTTTACGTTTTAGCAGAGCCTAGAAACTACCTCTGCTTTATGTGTGAACATGCTGTACTTTGGGGGTTCTTCTAACACACTTGACACCTCTGCTCCTTGTTTTTGTGCCCTTCTTGAGCAAAATGACTTTTGTTCCCCAATTTATATCCAAACTCATTCACTATAAGACTGTGGGGTGGGCTGGGCTGGGCGCGGTGGCTCACGCCTGTAATCCCAGCACTTTGGGAGGCCGAGGCGGGAGGAGAGATTGAGCCCAGGATTTCGAGACTAGCCTGGGCAACATGGCGAGACCCTGTCTCTACACAAAATTTAAAAATTAGCCAGGCATGGCTGGGCACAGTGGCTCATGCCTGTAATCCCAGCATTTTGGGAGGCCGAGGTGGGCAGATCACGAGGTCAGGAGATCGAGACCATCCTGGCTAACACGGTGAAACCCCGTCTCTACTAAAAATACACACACACACGCACAAAACTTAGCCACACACGCCTGTAGTCCCAGCCACTCCGGAGGCTGAGGCAGGAGAATGGCATGAACCCGGGAGGCGGAGCTTGTAGTGAGCCAAGATCGCACCACTGCACTCCAGCCTGGGTGACAGAGCGAGACTC